AGGTGCCCGGAAATCACACATTTCTTAAACTGTATTATGCTCCATGAAAATGAGAGGGAAAGAGAAAGAACTAACAAAACTTAGAAAAAGCATACTGATCAGCTCTTGCTTGGCTTTGTTTTTGTATAATTCTGAATCCATTCGCAGATCTTTGAAAATAGGAGAGATCCATAGTACCCACTGCTACCTTCCTGTTATATTCAGTTACAGTATATTTCTGGAATGAAAAATGTTTTGAAAGGAAACAGGAGGATATGATCAGGGAGTAGCTGTTTTGTTTGCAAGATAGTGTTACTATAACTACAAAAAATTCATTGTTGTGGGAATTAGTAATAAATATATGGTCCTCTTACCCTTGGCAAGGGAAACTGTTCAATGTATAGAATTACAAAATACTAATATTTCATAAATCATGCTTAATTCTTCCTTGCTTTTCATTTCCACTGCCTTCAGTGTTGATATTTCTTAACTGTCTCACGTGGGAATTTTAATACTTGATTAGAATTCAAAATGTGAGCATCTGCCAAGAATTAAATAGAATGTAATTTCACAAAATCTCAATTCTAATTTTTTAAAAAAGTGACAAAGCCAACCATCTTTAAAATGGATGCTGAGGGGGGCACTCAGTCGGTTGAGTGTCCGACTTCAGCTCAGGTCATGACCTCACAGTGTGTGAGTTCGAGCCCCGCGTCGGGCTCTGTGCTGACAGCTCAGAGCCTGGAGCCTGCTTCAGATTCTGTGTCTCCCTCTCTCTCTGCCCCTCCCCTGCTCATGCTCTGTCTCTCTGTCTCAAAAATAAATAAAAACATTAAAAAAAATAAATAAAATGGATACTGAGGAAACTATAAAACATGCCTGGAAGTGTTTATAATTATCAGTATTTCATATACTTACATGTTCATATTTATTTTTAAGAGCCGATGTGCTGTTAAAAATCCTAACTATAGGGGCGCCTGGGTGGCGCAGTAGGTTGAGCGTCCGACTTCAGCCAGGTCACGATCTTGCGGTCCGGGAGTTCGAGCCCCGCATCAGGCTCTGGGCTGATGGCTCGGAGCCTGGAGCCTGTTTCCGATTCTGTGTCTCCCTCTCTCTCTGACTCTCCCCCGTTCATGCTCTGTCTCTCTCTGTCTCAAAAATAAATAAACGTTAAAACATTTAAAAAAAAAAATCCTAACTATATCTCTAATAATTTAGTTGCCCATATTACTTTAATATGTAGGAATATTTAATATAAGTATTTAATATATAGTAAATATTTAATATATAATTACTATTATAATTATATAATTATATATAATTATAATAGTAATTATATAATTAATTATATAATACAATATATAATTATATAATATAAATATAATATAATATATAATTATATAATATAAAATATATATTATATATAATTATATTATATAATATATAATTATATATAATTATAATATATAATTAATATTTAATATATAGTAAATATTTAATATATTTAATATATAGTAAATATTTAATATAATTATTTAACATATAGTAAATAAGAATAGAATCAGTCTTAAAGTTCATCTCCCTTTGAAGCAGCCTGTGGTACATTGGAAATCTAGCACTCAGTGTAAGGTCTGACATACAATTGGTTGCTTAATATATGTAGGTTTTTAAAGTTTATATATTTTGAAAGAGAGACAGTGCAAGTGGGGAAGGGATAGAGGGGGGGAACAGAGAATCCCAAGCAGGCTCCACACTGCCAGTGCAGAGCCCAATATAGGGCTTGAACCCATGAAACCGTGAGATCATGACCTGAGCCAAAACTTAACTAATTGAGCCACCCAGGCACCCCTTTAATTTTTTTTAAGTTTATTTATTTTTGAGAGAGAGAAAGAGGGGCAGAGACACACACACACACACACACACACACACACACACACACACACACACACACACAGAATCCGGAGCAGGCTCCAGGCTCTGAGCTGTCAGCACAGAGCCCGACTGGGGGCTCAAGCTCACAAACTGTGAGATCATGACCTGAGCCGAAGTCAGATGCTCAACCAACTGAGCCACCCAGGTGCCCCTTAATATCTGTATTTTTTAGATGAATGAGCAAAAATAATGTAATTTTTAAGTAAATTATGTTTTCTAAATCACAAGGGATATTTGAACATTAGAAGAATAAATATTTGATAACAAATCATTTCACATTTTCACATTGGAAAAGTATTGTGAAGTGGTAGGAAAATATTCAAACTGAGAGAAGTTAACAAATGATTTTTAATTCAGTATCAACAACTAATTGAAGGTTCTGCACATAAACCAAAAACAAAGGTATTTTTCAGGTTCCTTTATTATGTTATCTTTGGTAAGCCTAAGGAATATTTCTTAAAGTATTGAGAATTTTCTTAGGTCTGTTTTGTTACATTTCACTTATTAAATTGCATAAAAGTAAAGTTAATGTTGCTGTTCCAGTAATTGAAGGTGGGTTTTTTTCATTATTGCCATTTATTAACAAATGGGAGTAGAACCATTTTTTTTTTCTTCTCAGCCTTATAGAATAACTCGCTCTTTATTGCTCTATTTCGTCTCAGATATTTAGGATATATATATATATATATATATATATATATATATACACACACACACACACACACATACATACATATATAGTTATTTTTTACCAAACAATGCTAATTTTGTAGAATTACATATTCCCAAATGAACCTTGAGAAAAAGATTTTGTTGTTTTGCTTTTGTAAAAGAGGGACTATGGCTGTAGGATATTATGTGTCTTTAAAGAAGATGCTAAATACACATTACTAGCATCATTCATAGAAATTCTATCCGGGGGGTAAATAGAAAGTGAAAAAAAAAAATTGAAAAGAAAGCCAAAGAGAAGAGAATAGGAACATAGAAAATATGAGGAAAGTAGATAAAATAAGATGGTAGGCATCCAAAAATATCAGTAATCACAACAGTGGACTAATTCGTCCAATTAAAAGCTAATGACATCAGAAAGGTACATTCATAGGGGCGCCTGGGTGGCTCAGTCGATTGAGCTTCCGACTTTGCCTCAGGTCATGATCTGATAGTTCATGAGTTCAAGCCCCAGGTTGGGCTCTCTGCTGTCAGCAGAGCCTGCTTGGGATCTTCTGTCCTCCTCGCTCTCTGCCCTTCCGCCACTGCCTGCCCCCCCCCCCCAAATAAACTTAAAAGGTACATTTATATAAAATGTTCCCCTGAAGCTAGATCTCAGGGAACTCTGCCGTTCCAGATACAACTGGGAAGTACCCTTCCCCTAAAAAAGTACATTTATATAAAACTCTAGAAAATACAATCTAATCTAGAGTGATAGAAAAATGGTAGTCATTGCTGGTGGGGTGGGGCACCTCATACATAAAAGTCACTTGTGCTGAGAAAAGACTTAAATTTCAAAGATAAAACCATAATACTTTGAGAAATGATCTAGGAGAACATCAATCTGAATATAGAAGGATTCCTCTCTTCCTTCCTTCCTTCCTTCCTTCCTTCCTTCCTTCCTTCCTTCCTTCCTTCCTTTCTTTCTTTCTTTCTCTCTCTCTCTCTCTCTCTCGAGAGAGAGAGAGGGAGAGCATAAGCAGGGGAGGGGCAAAGAGAGAGAGAATTCCAAGCAGGTTCTGTGCTTGTAGCACAGAGCCTGATGTAGGGCTCAAACCCACGAACTGAGATCATGACCTGAGCTGAAGTCAAAAGCTGGACACTCAACTGACTGAGCCACCTAGGCGCCCCTAGAAGGATTTCTTAAGACACAGAAAGCACAGAAGGAAGAAACTGATAAATTCAGTAATGTGCAGATCTAAAACTTCTGTTTCTCAAGCACACACACACACAGACACACACACACCAAAAAGAGCTGGGAAAAAAATATTTATGGCCCATTTAATTGACAAAGAATTAGTATTTCTGTGGAATTTCCATGACTCAATAAAAAAAGACAACCCAGGAGAAAAATGGGCAAAAGATATAAACAGGCATGTGACATTAACAGGAGTCCCAAATAACCAATAAACAGGAAAAGAGGCTCAACCGCAATCTTTAGAGAAATGTGAATGACAGCCAACATCAGAGCCCATTTGCAAGCCCCTACCTCCCATTAATAAAAAGTCCATATTAAGCAAAGATGCCTGCAAAGATGTGTTGACAAAGACATAACTATAGCACATGTCTGCTCTTAGAGAGTAAACTGGTACAAACACTTTGGGAAACTATTTGGCGGTATCTACTGAAGTTAAAGATGTGCCAAGTGTAAGGCCCACAAATTCTACTTATAGGTGGGTCCACCAGGGAAACTCCTGCATTTAGGTACCAAGAGATGTGTGCAAGAATGTTCGTGGCACCACTGTAGTAGACAATATGGGGCAGTCCAGATTCCACCAGCATTGGATAAATCACCGTATGGCTCTTCGGTGGAATACTCCGTAGCAGCAGAAAAAAAAAATGACTTACAGCTACAAGGAAGACTCTTAGGAGCAAAATGTAAGGGGAAAAGCTCACGAAAAGTTACAGAAGTGTACATGCAATGTGGTTATGTCTTTCAGGACACAAATAAATATAAAACTATCAAGAAAAGCATGGGAATAATAAGCACAAAACCCAGAAATGGTTACTTTGAAGGAGGAAACAGATGAGCTGGAAAAAGCCAGTCTGGCTCAGTGGGGGCTTCAAACCAGTACAGTGTTCTTGTTCTGTGATTGCGTGTATTTAGATCTTTGTTTATACTTGACATTTGTTTATTTTATACTTCGAACCTATACAATATTTAATAAAGTTAATTACTTTTAAAATAGGTGCAAATTGCCGAATTTAGCCCATGGCAATGGGATACCTATGTACACCTGCAATAAAAGTACACGTTTTTGGAAAAATGGTAAATCATGAGTTCCGTCCCATTACTTACGTTTAATTAAATTTCCTTTTGCTAAAGGTTTTCCTTCTTCTCCCCCCTCCCCATTTCCCCTGCCCTGCTGCTCCCCGATTTTTAGGAGAGATTTGAAGCACTTTTCACTGTCTATGATGACCAAGTGACATTTCAGTTGTTCAAAAGCTTTAGAAGAGTCAGAATAAATTTCAGCAAACCAGAAGCAGCAGCAAGAGCGCGAATAGAACTCAACGAGACAGACTTCAACGGGAAGAAGCTGAAGCTGTATTTTGCACAGGTACAGGTGGACAGGGAGGGCGCTGTTCTCTCAACCTCCTTTCCTCCCAAAGTACCGTCACTTCTCCATTTTCTTGCTTATTGCATCAGAGGTCTTTGAATCCCAAGCAGCAAGTAATGTAAAAGTATTTTTCCTTTATTTTACAGATATATAAATATTTATTAAGCATATTTTCCCTCCTAACTCTGTTTTGCTTATACTGATAGTCAAAGGAATTCATTTTTCTGGGCACCATTTCTCAACTGGTGAAGCCCTGACACCCTAAGATCAGTGAATTAACTTTCCTCCCGTGCACTTGTGATGTGACATCCTTGGGAGAAAATCGTCTCTGAAACCGTTTCTATGTTGTGTGATTCATATGAGACCCCGTCACTGAAAATAGCTGCCAGCCTAGGGATGACCAGGGGGGTGGCGAGGACCGTGCAAAAAAGGCGGTTTCTGGGAGCCTGTGGGTTACCAAGAACCGTAAGTGCTTACTGTTCTGATCCCTACTGGTGGAATTCTCCGAAACTAATTTCTCCTCAGAAGAATTGATGACATAAAGGCTTTTGACCTCTATTCATGTATTAAGTGGGCTGTTTTACTTTCAACTGATGCTTTTCCCCCTTGGTCTTAACTTTCAAATTAAAAAAAAAAAGGAGGGGGGTGGGGAGGAAGTACCTGAGTGGCTCAGTTGGTTAAGCGTCCGAGTCTTGATTTCAGTCCAGGTCATATCTCTGGGTTCATGAGTTTGAGTCCCGCTTCAGGTGCCACGCTGACAATGTAGAGCCTGCTTGGGATTCTCTCTCTCTTCCTTTCTACCCCCCTCCCGCTCTCTCTCTCTCTCTCTCTCTCTCTCAAAAATAATAAATAAACTTTAAAAAAGCATAATCTTGTCGTCTCACACTCCAAACGAAAACCTAGATGACAGTTGTCAGGATATTTCAGTGGAGCTGCTTGAGACGCAGCCGATGTGACCTAATCTCTTCTACAATCGGCATGTAGGTTTCCTACCATTCATTGTTCCTTCATCTGTTTGTCAGTTGCTTCTTCCAGGCAGCTGTCGAACACCCGGTGTGCGTGGGCTCTGTGCTGTGCACCGTGTGTGCCCCGGGGTAAACTAAACGGACCCGGCCGCCGCTGGGAGGTGCGGGCTGTGGAGGGGGGCTTGGCTTTCGTGGTCTGCGAAGAGGTGTCACAGCCTGAAGAGGAAAAGGAAGAAACAGCCCCGTTGCAACTTGGTCTTGAGAACCTCCGTCCTTCCCCACAGGTACAGATGTCCAGTGAAACACGGGACAAGTCGTATTTACTGCCACCCCAGCCAGTCAAACAGTTCCTCATCTCCCCTCCCGCGTCGCCTCCGGTGGGGTGGAAGCAGGGGGAAGACGCGACACCTGTTATAAATTATGACTTACTCTGTGCAGTTTCCAAACTGGGACCAGGTAACAAACTTTCATCTTTCCTTTTTTTTTTTCCCCCCAAGAAACTTTTTTGTTGTTGAGAGAGAGCAGAAGGGGAGGAGCAGAGGGGTGGGGGGGGAGAGAGAGAGGAAATATCTCAGGCAGGCTCCACACTCAGCCCAGAGCCCGATGTGGGTCTGGATCCCATGACCCTGGGATCATGACCTGAGCCAAAATCAAGAGTCTGATGCTCAACTAACTGAGCCCCGCAGGCATGAGAAACCTGAGAAACTTTTGTGTTAAAGGCCCTATTCAGTGATTTGTGTTCTGGCCAACTGGTAGCAACACGATCAGAGTGGAGGATAAAGTCAAATAAACCCGGGTTCAAAATCTAGCGTTTGCTAACTTTGTGATTTTTTTTTTTAGGATTTAAAAAAAATGTTTGTTGATTTTTGAGGGGGAGAGAGGGGGACAGAAGATCTGAAGTGGGCTCTGTGCTGACAGCAGAGAGCCAGATATGGAGCTTGAAGTCAGGAACTGTGAGATCATGACCTGAGCCAAAGGCAGACGCTTAACCGACTGAGCCACCCAGCTGCCCCCTTAAGATTTTATTTTTTAAATAATCTCTACACCCAATGTGAAGCTTGAACTCACAACCCCGAGACCAAAAGTCACATGCCGGTTGCCCTGCAAACTGTGATCTTCAGCAAGTTACTTAGCTCCAATTTCTGAACCTGTTTTCTCATCTAAAGTAGCGGTCGTAATAGCTCCCGTTCAGTGTGGACTCAGTATAAGGATTAAATGTTATATACATAATACTCAGTAAATGTAACCACAGTTTTAACTGCTGCAGATTCTACTAGTAATAACAGGCCATTAGTGAATGTTGGTTACCTTCTCTACACTGAAGACTTACTTCAAGGAATTGGTGGCAATACCAAACCATTCCTTCTAAATTCTTCTACTTGTTTTCATTTCTTTTTCTTTGATTTCTCTCATCTCTTTAAAATAATATAAGAAATCAATGCCATTGCTGGTTGTTCACCTACAATAATATTATGCCTCTTATAAAGGGAAACAGGCTGGGGCGCCTGGGTGGCGCAGTCGGTTAAGCGTCCGACTTCAGCCAGGTCACGATCTCGCGCTCCGTGAGTTCGAGCCCCGCGTCGGGCTCTGGGCTGATGGCTCAGAGCCTGGAGCCTGTTTCCAATTCTGTGTCTCCCTTTCTCTCTGCCCCTCCCCCGTTCATGCTCTGTCTCTCTCTGTCCCAAAAATAAATAAATGTTGGAAAAAAAATAAATAAATAAAATAAAGGGAAACAGGCTTTTTAGGGAGGTGGCTTACTGTTGTTTTTAGACATGATAGGCTATATCTTAGATGTATGAGGTCCTATTATAAAGGGCTTGCTTGGGGCATGTGGGTGGTTCGGTGGGTTAAGTGTCCAACTTCAACTCAGGTCATGATCTCACAGCTTAGGAGTTTGAGCCCCACGTCAGGCTCTGTGCTGACAGCTCATCCTGGAGCTTGCTTCGGATTCTGTGTCTCCCTCTCTCTCTGCCCCTCCCCTGCTCATGCTCTCTCTCTCTTTCTCTCTCTCTCTCTCTCTCTCTCTCTCTCCCCCTCAAAAAACCTAAATAAACATTTAAAAATTAAAAAAAATAATAAAGGGCTTGCTGATGCTGCCTGGCACCTTACAAGTCTCTCCTGCAGGAAAACCAAAATCATTCTAAAGTTAAGCAGTTCACTCATACTGTTCCTACAACAGTAATTAGCATTTCCATTTTAACTCCCAAGACCTCAGTACCCCTCACCAGCTAATTTCTTAAAAGGGCAAAACTGTCTAAGAACCTTCAAGTATCCTATCTCTCGTGCCAAAACTGAGTGGAACAAGAAGTTTTAAGACACAGACACCTGTTCTTGCCGTTTGCCTCCACAGGAGAGAAATACGAGCTCCATGCAGGAACTGAGTCGACGCCCAGCGTGGTGGTTCATGTCTGTGACAGTGAAACTGAAGAGGCAGAAGAAACAAAAAACCCCAAACAGAAAATTACCCAGACGAGGCGCCCCGAACCTCCAGCCGCAGCACCGGGTGAGCCCCAGACCTTCGATGGGGCGCTGTGAGGCCGCTGGTTGTGGTGCCAGGCAGGTGCCCTTGTGGGCTCAGCACTGGAGCCCCGTGCCCCCTCTGCAGCGTTGCCGGTCATTGGCGCTGATCCTGTGTGTGGGGGAGGCTGGGAGTGAATGGGGCGCGGTGTGTTTTGCCACCACGCCTGTGCTGCAGACATAGCCCTATCAAGTCGCGGCAGATTTTACCTGGTCGCAGTTTTAACAGATCTTCCGAACAGCACATGAAATGAAAGGATTGGCCCCCAACGTGTTGCAACTCTTGACCATTTTTTAAGCGGTAGCAAATTAGGAAATTTGGCTGATTTCTGGCTCCCTCCAGCAATGGTAACTTCCCTGATTCCATTTCGCATGGGGTACCAAAAAACTAAAGCGGTAGTCACCGAGCTCCGTACCATTTTTATGAATTTAAAAATAGTCTTACAATTTCAATAATCTGCTGTGGGTACTTTTGTAATGGTATAATAGCTTCCAGCTACTCTGTTGATCAAAGGTCAATTGTTCCTCCATATACGTGAAATTTTTTGCACAGAAAGAAATCTGAAATGTAAAGTAATTGATAGAGAATCATTTTTCTCAAGTAGTTTTTTCTTTAGCTTTGGGGAGGAAATGCCAAATTCACTTTGACTATGGGAATCACATAGTACAAATCCTTGTGGGTGTACTCTCTTCCCTGTTACTGTTAAACTTCAAGAGGACAGTGACGCACAGACCACTGTTCCCAGTGCACCGTCCCTCCCAGAGAAAGAACTGCTACTTTGGAAGTAGGACATACCACCAGAGAGTTTGACTGACGAGGGCCTCAGGTGGCTCATGCGATCTGCCATGTGGGACCACGTGCTAGCCTGTAGCATACCCAACTGTCTTTAGCCACCTGTTGAGTTTTTCAATGGTAAACATATTGAGTGTGTCATTCATTGACTTTAAAGTTTTTTTTTTTTTAATGTTTATTTTTGACAGACAGAGCATGAGTGGGGAGGGGCAGAGAGAGAGGGAGACACAGAATCCGAAGCAGGCTCCAGGCTCTGAGCTGTCAGCGCAGAGCCCGACGCGGGGCTCGAATTCACAGACCGTGAGATCATGACCTGAGCCAAAGTCGGACGCTTAACCAACTGAGCCACCCAGGCGCCCCTTCATTGACTTTAAATTAGAAAAGGTACTGATAAGGTTTTCCGAAGACCAATGTTTAATGGCCTATTTAAACATTTTCCAGTTTCCTTTGGAAGAAAAGACACACATATTCTTTTCCGCTGAGTTAGGGAAAGATGGGGAAATTGAGATCATTCAGATAGTCAGACTTCTGTTCCTGGTGCGATCTTTTATACCCTGGCTTACACTTGGCATTTTTCCCTAAAACAGAATCATTTCTGACTTGTGCTTCAGGAGTGGATAGTGGAAGCCCCTAAAGCAGAAGCAAGTATCTTTTTAACTTTCTGTGGTCTGTTCAGACTCTGTAATCCTTTTATAGAAAAGTCTCATAACTAAGAAAACCTGGCTTTGGTCAGGTGGCTCTGCTGAGCTCTGTTCACTGTGCTGTTTCCTCCATGTGTCAGATGTCTGGAGCCCCCTGGCATGTGTGTGAGGGGCCGCACATGGGAGTTTGGACCAATAAACCAAGGAGGCTGTGCCCACACGGAGAGAAGAACACAGAAATTCAGGCCAGGATGTCCGTACATTTTTGGTAGCATGTTTTTGTGGGTTAGAGGTTCTTATTATGGAGAGATTTATCTCTGAGGACTTAAACTGTATTGCCAAAAAAAAAAAAAAAGTTTTCTGTATTTTCCTTGCCCTCAAATTCTCTCAGATGATATACTCTCCTCTTTATAGATGTCTGCTGCTACTAAGCTTCAGTATAAATTCAGTTGAAATTTGTGATCTCATAAGCAGTTTATTAAATTCAGATAATTGTTTGGCAGTTTAACTGACAGTCACTTGGTACATTTGCTTTGCATTCTAAATTTCCCATTTTGCCAGTTTTCAATCTTACCTGGCTACACTAATCATTGCAGACTGGACCCTGTCAGGAAATGTGTGTATTTTCAACAGGTGGGAATTAAAATTTTTCCTTTTAGGTAATGTTTATTAGCTATAATTTTCTAAGTAGTCAGAATCCATGATGTTTTATTATTTGGCGTGGCTTTCATGGTCTTCCTTCCAGTTAAAGAATAGTCTGTCCCTAACTTACATAACCTGGTTTTAAAGTCAGGCAGTGCAAATTACCTGAATATTTTCTTTTTCTCTGTTCTTATTTTTTTGAGAGTATTGAATAAATTGAAAAACTTAAATCAAAATAAATATATATTAAATATAAAATACTTAATATATATTAAACTTTACTGAATGGAAAACATTAATATTTTCATTGCCTCTAATGTAGTTCCATAAGGTGAATGCTAAAAGAAAAACTGCTAAATGCCCATAAACTTTTAACTATTGTGAAATTAACCAGTTTCTCAACAAGTATGATGGGCTCTGTCCTTTTTTTGGCCATTTTTATATCCAGCTCATGTAACCATCTTAGATGAGGCTCGTGTTCTTTTTTTAAGTTCCTTTTAATACGTTTAGCTACATTTTTCTTCTCTGAAGTTGAGTTATTACTTAGATTGAACTGGTAGTAGAGTAGCTATGTGCTCTTTGGAAATCATAACTTCTTCTCGGGAATCAAATTACTTAGAGCATTGTGAGGAAAGAAAATGATGCTTTGTGTTAGGAAAAACACAGTCTGTGAGGGATAAGAAAATCATAGCACTTAATGAGAATAGTCAACAGAACCTGCAGTGCGTTGGCTCTTCCGTTCTAGGTTCTTGCAGCATACCCACCTGATAAAACCAGAAATCAGTGTGCTGGTGTGAGGATCAACTAGTTGAAGGTTCTAAGAGGCAGAAAGGGTGTGAACAGTTCCCTTGCCCTCGGGAGCAGAGAGCAGGAGAGCAGACTAATCTTCTTACTGTCTGCTTCTTGAGACTTTATACACTAAACCTGTCCACATAACTGAGAGCCCAGTAAACGCTACCAGGAACTTTTAAGCTCAACAAAATGGTTCAAATAGAACATGGTGTGTTTGAATCAGAGCTGCCAGGAGATGGGACAGGAACAGCACTGTCGTTCTTTTAGAAAATGGTCACTTTGTTTCCCACTCCCAGCGATTTCATCTCAAGAACTGTTGTGATCGAAAGTGAAGACTAGCTTCTCTCAGAACCTGAGCCACTGTGCTGAAGGAGGCTTGGGAAAATGACGTACTCTACTCCTCCTGTGACACAGACGAGAAAACTGAGGTGATGCCACTTGTTTCAAAGCTCGCAGGGACTAGCTTGCATTCCCAGCTCCCATGTTTGGGCCTTTTCTACTTTTTTCTTGCATAGGCCTCTTTAGAGGCCCTCAGAAGCAGTGAATCTCTGTCATAAGAAAACAAACAAAAAAAGGGAAAAGAATTCTATCTCCCCCTGAAGGGATACAGTGAACAAGAAACATCAGATGAAGGTAGTGACTTAGTAATTTCATGAGTGAAGTTATGTTCCGTGTTTGTGTTTCTGTTGTCATCGTGCTGTTGGGATTGGAATCCCATTAAATAATGGCATTTTGGTAGCCAGCAATTATGTTGACATTTTGTGTGGGCTCTCCTAGATTTTAGTCATAACGAGATTAAAATATAAACAGTCATACTTGAGATGTGACTCTCAGGAAGCAGTGTGAGATCTCGTCGGATTTGGAAACAGTTTGCAGTGGAATGACACCATTACCCAGTGCTTGTAAAAGGTTGAAGACTGACCTGTGCTTCATGTTTTTAGATAGACTCGTTTACAGACCATAGCTTTATTTTTAAAAGGGAAGATCTCAAACATAATTAAGCAGTGGAAAATGTATGCTTTTCTTTGGTGCATCAAAGTTCCCTGTCTGCTGGTATCTGCCTTTTCTCTGAAGATGTGTACTTTAAATTTTTTTTTTTTCAACGTTTATTTATTTTTGGGACAGAGAGAGACAGAGCATGAACAGGGGAGGGGCAGAGAGAGAGGGAGACACAGAATCGGAAACAGGCTCCAGGCTCTGAGCCATCAGCCCAGAGCCCGACGCGGGGCTCGAACTCACGGAGCGCGAGATCGTGACCTGGCTGAAGTCGGACGCTTAACCGACTGCGCCACCCAGGCGCCCCTGAAGATGTGTACTTTAAAACCTGTCACCCAGGTGAACGTGGTCAACCTTCCTTCCCCCCCCATCCCCCCCACTGTGCTCCTGTTTTCCACCTACATTTGCATCGTCCTGTATGAAAGGAAACAAATTACTTTATCCGTGTGACAATATAAAGGAACAAAAGGTGAGGGGATTCATTCCTCCCAGCTGGAAGGTAAGTCCATTGTAATAGAAGCTCACTTTTTAACAAGTTAAATGCATTTGAAGAAAAAGGTTTATGAACCTTGTTCAACAATATGACAAGGACTTTGCTTTATAAACTCCCCTTGGGGTCCGGGCCAGCCAGATCATTTTCATTGGAACGCCATCGTGGTGTTTAACCATGAATCGGGAAACTGCCAATACCTTGAAGAGTGTTGTTTTTATTACCAAATACACAAGCCACAAAGCAACAGGAAGTTGCTACAACTGCTAGGTTTTACCGACCAAAAGGATCATAAAAACGGTCACGTTCAAAATAGAAGTTTCCAGCCAAGCTTAAGAAAAACGAACATTGAGCTGAGTCCAAGTGTCTCCATCCATTTAAACAGAAGTGTAAAGACCTTTTACTACATTAGACACGTGGTCTCTCTTGTAAACTGTGTTTCCTTTTGAAGCAAAATCAATTATGGGCTGCAGACCCTTGGAGTTTCCTGCGCCGCTTCGACTGAATGTTCATTCTGTCATAACGGAAGATCTCTATGCAGATAATACGCGCTTTCCTGTATTGTTTCCTATTTAGTGCCCAGGCTGCCTCCCCCAGGCTGGGGACTGCGGAGAGAGAAAGGTGGCTACTCATGTGGCTGCGCTATCCTCTTCCCACTGCTTGTCACCCCGAGGTGGGGGCCCCAGACAGGAGGGATCCACGTTTCTGCTGCCAGCGCACATGTCCTCCAACTTTATCTTCATTGAACCCAGGAGTTGGATTGCCATTTTATCTGAACATGTTTGTGATCTTGTGTTATCTTCATGGGCACGTTACTTTTCTGGTACTATAAATTATAGTGAATATTCATTGTACTTCCGAAAACTGGTCAGTAATTTATACACATGTATTCCGTATTTTAGTGTGCTTGAAGTGACAGTCCGTAATTCGTAGTAGTTCGTTACTTGTCAACTTTGGCTATCCTGTATTTTTAGGACATGTAAACGTTCCTTGTCCTATCAAAGTGACAAAAGCAGAATGTAATTTTTTTGGAATCCTTGTGATTACTTGTAACAAGTTTTGTTTTTAAAGCTAATAAAAATAAAATTAGGTTTTTTTTTTTTTAATCCATCTGTTGGATTGAGTTCTTGTACTATTTTTAATAACTGTCATTTACACTGGGACACCTGGCTGGCTCAGTTGGTAGAACAGGCAACTCTCTATCTCTCGGGGTTGTTAAGTTCGAGCCCCATGTCGGGTGTGGAACCTACTCTAACTAGTAGATTCCATTTGAACGTTAGTATTGTGCTGTGCCAGAGTTAAAGGTGTTAACTCACTGCAGACTCTGGAAATAACCACGATGGTTTGAGTTCTTTACCAAGAAAAGTTTTCTTACCTGGGTTTATCCTCAGTTAAAAATGATTCATTCCAGGTAAAGGCTTATTTTCTGTCTTGGTTTAAAAAACCAAAAACCCTCCAAATCCAAATGCTGAAGCTAAAAATGACTGTAAAGCTTATCTAGTGCAGTGATTGTTTCAATATATACTTAATTCTTCAGCCGTAGAACTCTATTCTTTGTTCCAATGAAATCTTACATAAAG